TCGCGATTTGGGTGACGGCGGTGAGACCGGAGGAGCATTGGCGGTTGACGGTGTTGATGGGGGTGGTGATGGGAATGCCGGCGTGGATAGCGGCCATGCGGGCTGCGCTGGCGCCTCCGCCTGCGGGGAGGACGTTCCCGACGGAGATGTCCTCGATGAGGGAGGGGTCGAGGCCGACTTGGGTGTAGGCCGCGCGGAGGACGTGGGAGAGCATGAGTTCGGGGTGGGTGTCTTTGAAGCCACCCTTTTTGGCCTTGGTCATGGCGGTGCGCAGGGCTGTCACGATGACGACGTCGTCATCGTGTTGCTCGAGGACACGCGCTTTGGCAGAAGAGGTGGAGGACATGGTGTGTGGCCATCCAACCGAAACGTCATCATCTTTATATCGCCGAGGTTTCACCTTGGGTAATATCACATGTCCTGAATTGGAAGCCTTTGCCAAATACATCCAATCACCTCGCTCGGCTTGTTCGGAATGGTATCCTCCCTTCTCTACCCTCATTTCTTGATCGCTTCGACAACTCCGAGTCTAGAGGACCTGAAAATGCGCATATATCCTGCAGTGACACGTAGAACACTTCAGGCTACTTGACGAAGGAGACTTGAGCGAGCCCCGCATCTCGACTTGCCCTCGCCCTCCTGTCATTCAAATATTCATATATCGTCTTGAAGTTGGACTTCTGGTTTCCTGTCAGCTCCAGATGTCTTGGACGAGTTCGAAACATGACGATATCCGTCGCTCACACCCTCACCGCCATTGGTGACGCGTACATTTGTGCTTAAAGCAAAAGAGTCCGGTTAATCGTGATACGCTACAACAAATTATACCTCCCACACCACACAGACCACGCCGCATTCCCTCCCATAACATCCATCATCGCCACCCCAAGTCTCTCCACCATCTCACTGGCTTCCCGCTCTGCCTTATATGATTCCCTTAGATCGTCCAAGACCTCCATGAACCGACCTTCATAACCCCGTATCCTCTCCTTCATATCTTCGATCGCGTCCGGCACGGTGAGTTCATGGCGTTGAATGAGGACGGCGAGAGCATTGCACAGCGTCACTTCTTGCGAGCTCGCTTTCGCCTCCTTCCTGTATGAATATAGGTCGTTGACCAACGTCGCCTGCGAGATACATATCTCTTGAAGAAGTCGGATCTTTTCGGTCTGCAACTGTTCCGGGATCGTGATCTCTCTGGCCCAAAGTACGCCCTCCAACGCGAGCCTATGACGATCAACAGTTCACTCACGTCGTATCGATGAACAAGCGAGCACGTACCAACCACCCACATCCCGCAATCTATACTCGAAGAACTCATCAAACCCCACCATCACGCTCGCAACACGCTCCTTCTTCGCAGTCCCCGCTTTAACGCAAAGGATCGTAGCCTCGAAGATGCGTTTTCCAGGTGCGATTTCGTTGATCCGAGCGCAGAGATCCTGCAAGATCGATTCAGGCCCGGTCACCTCTCCAACGACCCCCCCACCCCGCAGGATCTGGATAACCCGCGGGATAGAATGTGCAACCTGGTCCGAACGCGTGGTCAGAGCCTCCTGTTCTGCGATCCATCCAGAATCCGACCACGAACATACCTCGTCTGGAGACATCACCTCTATCCGGTCGTCATACAAGAACCAAAACGTGATATACGCGACGAACAGCCACATTCGTTCTCGGGGAGCAACGGGGCACACCAGCGTCGAGAATGCCTCCAAGTCTTCCTTGGCGTACTGCGCCTTGCGCTCTGGGGAGGGCCAGTCCCAGCGTTCGAGGAAGTAGGCTTGGACGCTTGGGATGATGGTGGCTCTGAGTTCGTGGTCGTGCGCGGGGAATTTGGAAGTGAAGTGGGGAGGAGAGAGGAGAGGGTTGGATGGGGACGGGGGGCTTGGTGGGGGGTGTCCGTTTGTGGTGGAAGAGGGGGAGGGGGAGGGTGGGGAAGCGGAGCTGGGCTCGTCGTACGCGGTGTTCTTGACGGTGTGTTGATTTTGAGTGGAGATGTCGACCATCGCGAGGATGCTCGGTGCCATACTTCATTAACGTCGTATCGATGCATCGTCTAATCTATACCAGCGACTCTAGCTTCGATTACGCGTGCAAGGAGACTTTGACTCCCCGAGCTGGGGCGTGCGTTCTGGTTCGGAATTGGATCCTCCCTTCTATTGGTTCTTGTACTCGCTGAGGAAGATTCGATACTCAATGTGAAAATCAAAGCTAGGTTTGATTGAGCTTGGCCGACCTGACTTGATTGAACTCGGCATTAAGATACGACCATTCGCATTCTCTTATTCGTCTTCTCTCGCCCAGCCTCTCATTGTCACCGGGAGTTTCGACATCGTAGTAAATGTCTTGTCCAGGATACCGCCGAGTATGAGGAGCTACAAAGAAATGGCCGAGTAGCAGTATTGAATCAGGAAGTCCATGGGCTCTGAGGAAGCGACGAAATAAGAAGAACACTGTATGACATGACCTGCCCCACGCCCGAGCTACCGTGTCCTACAATTTGCCGCAGCCCCAGTCCATCCACACCTCGCGCATATTTCAGAAGCACGCGGTCTGTCCTACAAGTACAGGTTTCGTGTGCCTACCACATACACACGCTGCCCGCACCTGCTGTAATTGGAATCTGGCGGTTTAGCTGCAGGTTACAGCTCATACTATCCATCGCTGTCACGTCACTTAGTACTCCCTGCCATGGAAGCATTTCGCGCCTCTGCTCTCTTCACGTCGACCATTCCTCCGGTTCAGGCGGCAGCTCTTACACTAGGAAATGCGTCCATGTTGGGCTGGCTCCAGAGGTGGCGCACGTAAGGGGTGGACTGTACCGGGATTTACGTGAGTAAGGGCAAAGGCCAGAGAGAAAAGTTTAAGACTCAGAGGGTGACATACATCCAATGTGTTCGATCCCCACCCCACACGAGGTCCGTCTGTGCGACGTCGACCACCTTCACCTCCTCCTCGTCTTCCCCGCACGAGTCCTCCCGAATCAACGTGACTTGACTTAGGAACAATCTTCGATGGCCCCTCTCCTGAGTCCTAGCGCTGCCGGTGATCGTCGTGCGCCCACATCTCCGCCCGCCCCGCCTTGCCCCGAGTCCTGTCCCGCGTCCGAACGCAGGGTTCGTGCCGGTTCGAACGATCGGCACTCTCTGGTCCATGTTAAGACACACAACCACATTCTCCGTCGCAGGTCCAGAGGGTCTGACTCCAAGCCGACGAAGCACGATGTATACCAGCAGATGGATCTGTGAAGAGCAGGCAGGTGTTGAACGTTATTCAGCAAGTGGTAAACGGGGAGGGGATAGGCGAACACACCATAACGGCTACCAGCCCAACTGGGGTCTGCTCCGCTGTCCCTTCAACGTTCAACTTTGCCATCTAACCCTCACTTCCCTTGAGAGCGCCATCCGGTTTTCTGGGCGATAGAAATAGAAAAGAAGCTGGTTTGCAAAGGAGGCCGGTTAATTCTGGTATGTCGCAGGAGATACCATGAAAACATTACAACTTACCTCGTCCAGGAGCGAGCAGACGCGAGACAAATAGTGGAACTGGCAGGCAAGAAGAGTCGAAGATGCGTCGCCAGGCGTCGCCATCAAGCAACCAGTCACATGACATGTCGCGTCATTCGTTCCGTTCTGAACTTGAGGTGGTCAAGTCCGACGCGGCCGACCTCTACAGTAGCGGACAAGCAAACACAACAAAAAAATTGATTGTGTTCTGGGCATGCTGCAAATCATTTCTGGGCTCTTTTATCGTAGGAACTATGATATTAGGACCCAACAGGCTCTTTTGCACGAGCCAATTTCCCTTTTGAAAATCTTGATGCCAAAAATTTGGCCAAATCCTTGAAAAAAACCCCTAAAATCACGAAAAATAGCGCAATCGACGCCTTTTTGAGAGCTGAATCCGATTCTGACAGAATAGAAACCTTCTAACGAGCGGTTCGGCTACGATAAAATGAATTGACAGCACCCAAAATGGATTGATGGGAATTTGTCATCACCAAATTTAGTCCATGTCCCGAAAGTGCCATTGTGGTAGCTACATTTGGGTGATCCGGAGCCTCCAACACCGTCGCAAGTCATTCACCAGAGTGGCACGAACATCATCGCCGTCCGGGGGTCCGATTATGTCCCGTAGGCAACCATGTCAGAGGCCCAAAAATTTGGCCAACCCTTGTTTCTCGTGGGAAAAACTTCGGTCATACGTTTTTCGACGTCTTTTGACGAGCTGATTATGATTCTGAAATCAGTTTGGCCCAGAAAACTCTCGATCAGGCGGTATCCAATTTGTCGTGTTTGCTTGTCCGCTACTGTACCCTCCCTCGACATCTCTCCTTCTCGCTCATCTGACGTTAGAGATTTAATTTACCCTGCACGCGAATCGCCCACCGTGTGCGTCGCCGTATTCCACTGCACTATGTTCGCACGGAAGAGTGAAATATGTCTGTGCTTGAACACAACCAACATCAGCCTGCTCTCTGTCTTCTCAAACTAACTCCTGCCCGATCTTCTATCCCAACTCCAAAACACAAAATTCTGGCTATCAATAACCTCGATATCCAGTCCCCGACTCGAACAGGGCCTCCGCTGGCGAATGTATGAACATCCATTCATGCATTCGTGAGCGCCGCGATCAACCGCTCCACCACTGGATTTACACACTCTTTCTGCTTGTTTAGAGTATGTCAATCGAGTCTCCGGCTGAAAAACTGTCGTGTAATCTTGGCAGACCGCTAAAGTCGACCCTCCTCTGTACAAGTCATGCGGGGCCCTTCCGCATCATGTCCAGTCCTTGAATCGAATAGGGCTCTGGGCCCGGATCTATAGAACGGAACCATGACATGAATTGGGGCGGTGATGGACCACTAGGCAACTGGACGAGCATATTCCCCCATCCTTGAGGTCCTTCGCTTGTCCAGAAGTGAAGTCGGATCACCGCGCTTTATCATCCTTCCACACAAACGGTGAAAAGGAAAAGCTTCTGTAGAGTCTACCCATGGTCCAGTCCCTGAGTCGAACAGGGCTCCCGGCTGCCATAATCCACGAACCACGACTCATGATTGATCCGCCGCGCGCTACACCACTACGCAACTGGACCTCTAAGCTCCCCGTCTTCCGCGGGATACGTTTTGTATGCACCGAGTCACTCCCTCTTGGCATGCCTGCCCAATCACGGCCATGACAGGTATAGTCTCTCCTCAGTGCGCAGTGTTCGGATCCTTCCCCATGCCGTAGACCTGCATCCGTGGGCTTCATAAGCGTGCTGACTCGAGACGACGCCGTGTTCGCGTATCTGCAGGTCATCGTAGCAGGTTATCTTGCCTCACTTGCCTACCAGGCGCATTTTCAAAATATATCGCTCAGGAACCTTCACGAATGCGTCCAAGTCCCTGAGTCGGACGGGACTCTCCGCTGGACTTGACTTGGTTGCCCCAACCCAAGAATAAGCTTCCCAGTCGGTGCAGCTAGTGATGCGAGTCAGGATACGGGCGTTGAGATGAGGGAACTGGTATCCTACAGGATTGTTCTCATCTTGTATGTCGTGTGGAGCGTTCATAGTCAGCGGGACCGTTGAGCCGTCTCTGGTTTAGGCTATTTGACGAAGGGAATCCGAGTGAGCCCAGCACCTCGAGTAGCCCTCGCCCTCCTATCCTTCATATATCGTTTTGAAATTCTGGTCTCTTGCTAGCCCCAGTTGTCTTGGACGTGTTCGAAGTAACTATATTCAGGTCGCCGCCATTCCTACCCTCACTCCCGCTATTTCTTCTCCCTTTCATGAACTGGTATCATCTGTAACAGATACTTGATCCTAGTGCAAAAAGAAAAGCAACCTCCTGACCACTCATTCCCGGAATTGGACAGGGCACGTAGATTTACTGGATCGATGACGCGATCGACTGCTATGCGAGTACAGCTATACTCTCTGTGCCTACTCTACTTATGTAAGTGAGACGCTAACGGTATTCGCTGTTGCTAGACCCGTCGGGCGCGCTTAACGGCACATATCGACGGAGGGACCACTACACAACTGAATCTTTACTGTCTCTATCTTTGCGTCAAATAGACATTGATCGCTAGCGTCACGGGCTACTACACAACCCGCAGATTTTTCTGGAGCGATACAGTAAGGTTTTCCTGATACATTACAGCAAATTATATCTTCCACAATACGCTGACCACGCCGCATTCCCCCCCATGATATCCATCAGCGCCACCGCGAGTCTCTCCACCACCTCACTAGCCTCAGGCGATGACTTATGAGATTCCCTCAACTCGTCCAAGACTTCCATGAACCGGCCTTCATAACTATGTATCCTCTTCTTCACGTCTTCAATCGCATCCAACAGAGTGAATTGATGGCATCGGACGAGGACGGCGAGACTATTGAACAAATACTCGTCGTGGTGTCGGACTTCTTCTGAGCTTGCTTTCACCTCTTTCCTGTATGAATATAAATCGTTGATCAAGGCTGCCTGCGAGATCGATAGCTCTTGAAGAAGCCGGATCTTTCCGGTCTGCAGGTGCTCCGGGATCGTGATGTTTTTGGCCCAAAATACGGCCTCCAAAGCGAGCCTGTCAGAGGACGTGGAGATCTTGGTCAACAGCCATGCGTGCGGATGAACAAGGAAGCACGTACCAACCACCGACATCCCGCATCCTGTACTCGAAGTACTCATCGAACCCTGACATCACGCTTATGAGACGCTCCTTCTTGGCACTCGCCGCTTTCATGTAGTGGAGGGTGGCGTCGAAGACGCGTTTTCCGGGGGCGATGTCGTTGATCTGGGAGCAAATCTCCTGCAAGATCGATTCAGGCGTACTCATATCCTCAAGGACCCCGCCGCCACCCAGCAGGATTTGAAAAATGCGCGGGATTGAATACGCGAGCTGATCGGTGAGTAAGATGTGCTCACTGCGACGATCACAGGCCGGACACACCTCGTCTGCAGCCATAACATCGACCAGGTCATCGTAGAGAAACCAGAACGTGTTGTAGGCGACGAACAGCCACATGCGTTCTAGGGGAGCAACGGGGCATGCGACCGTCGAGTATCCCTCCAGATCTTGCTTCGGGTGCCGGGACTTGCGATCTTCAGATGGCCATTCCCAGCGCCGGTGGAAGTACTCCTGCACACTTGCAATAATCGATTCACTGGCCTCATGGTTGCGAGCCGGGAAATTAGAAGTGAAGCAGGGCGGATCGAGGAGTAGATTAAATTGCGGGCTGCTTGGGCGGTGTTCGACGCAGGAGGTGGATGGTCCGGACATGGCTCTGCTGTTCTCATGTTCGTTGTTCTGTGTACTATTTATATGACGGAATTTGATAAGAAACATTGGATGTCTCGACGATGCTCGGGACCGTACTTCATTCATGTCATGTTAATGTCTCCCCATGCGGTCACGGCTAGCTTCTATTACCAGCACAACGGGAGTTCATCTCCCCTACTCGGAACGTGTTTTCCGATCCTAGATGGATAATCTTTGGATCCTTCTTTCTGTTGTTTTCCATGCTCGCTTAAAACACTGCGACAGGATGAATGAGTTAAATAAAAACAACTGTGATTGATATCTCACGCTTAGGCGGCGGTACACATCATCTCCATCACATATCGCTTCGTACTCTCCACCATCCAACCACTTGGCGCCGCTACTCCCTTGTATATCCATCGTTTCCGGGTCTCCGGCAACATTTGTTTCTCGAGCTGACTCTTTCATTGGCAGGCTCCGGCTCATAGGATCGCTCAGGCAGGGACGGTGGTCGCAGCTCCCACACCACGAAATGCGGCTGACGGCGATCCTGTCGTCGAGGGGAGTGGCGAAGCCAATATCGGTCTGGATCCGAGGTGGTGCGCGCAAGGGGTGGACTGTACCGGAATTCACGTGAGCAAGAGCAAGGTCCACAGGGAAAAGAGGGTAACATACCTCGAATGTGTTCCATCCCCAACCCACATAAGGACGGGGCCGTCCTCCGTCTGTTCCACGTCGACCACCTCCATATCTACGTAGCTGGTCTCCCTGATCCAGTGCTCCCAGATCATCGTAGATTCACTCAGAAACAATCATCGATGGCCGCTCTCCCATGTCCTAGCGCTTTCGGTGATCGTCGTGCGCCTACATCTTCGCCCGCATTGCCCGTATCGGTCCCGGGTCCTGCGTTCGTGGCGGTTCAAACGATCGGCACCCTGTGGCCCAGATCAAACCCATACAAACGTATTCTCTGTCGCAGGTCCAGGGGCTGACTTCAAGGCGACGAAGACCGATGTATACCATGATGGATCTGTGAAGAGCGTGCGATGATCAGCAAGTGGTCGACGGGGAGAGTGTAGGGGAGGCACACCATGACGGCTCCCAAACCAACTAGTGTCTGCCCCACTGTCCGTTCAATCTTGCCGTTCGACTCTCACTTCCCTTCAGCGCGCCATTTCATTGTCTGGGCGATAAAGATAGAGAAAACGCTGTGAACGCAAACGAGGCTGATTAGATTAGTCCTGGTATGTCACAGGAGATACATGAAAACATGGATATAACCTACGTAGTCTAGCGGCGAGCAAACGCGAGATGCATGGTGGGACTGGCAGACAAGAAGACGGCAGCTCTGAGCCATCGGCGTCGCCACTCCGACTCGCCATCATTGTCAAGCTGCAAGCAACCAGTCACATGACATGTCACGTCTTCCGTTCCGCTTTGTCAAGTTTAATCCAAGCAACCACATCTACCCTCCCTCCGGGCGATTTCACTCCCTATCTTCCCCAAAACATATCTATTGACTCATACCAAATCGTTCATCCCAACTCGAAAACATAAAATTCTGGATCCCAGCACCCAGATCCAGTCCCCGACTCGAACAGGGCTCTCCGCAGGTGAACATACAAACATCCATTCACGCCTCAATCAGCGGCGCGATTAACCGCTACGCCACTGGATTGATACTCTCTCTTTGTTCGTCCAATCCAATCTCTGGCTGAACGACTGTAATGAGAGATATTCTTGGCACACCGCTAACGTCGACACTCACATGCGGGCCCCTTCTGTATCCTGTCCAGTCCCTAAATTGCATACGGCTTTCTCCGCGACCTATAAACTGGAACCATGAGATGCATTGGCGGCGCGATGGACCGCTACACAACGGGACCAGCATGTTGCTCGTCCTTTCAGCGGGACCGTCTAGTTGTCTCTGGTTCAGGCCATTTGACGAAGGAGACTCGAGTGAGCCCAGTATCTTGAGTTTCCCTCGCGTCCTATCACCCCTATATCGTCTTGGACTTCTGGTTTCTTGCTGGCTTCAGGTATCTTGCACGAGTTCGAAACGTAACGACATTCACGTCGCCGCCATTTCCACCCTCACTGCCCCTGGTTCTCGTCCCTTTCATGAACTGTTATCGTCGACGCTAAAAGCAGACAGCTCGGTTATTCGCGATACGCTACAGCAAATTATATCTTCCACACTGCGTAGACCACGCCGCATTCCCTCCCATGATATCCATCAGCGCCACCGCGAGTCTCTCTACGATCTCACTGGCTTCAGGCGATGACTTATGAGATTCCCTCAGCTCGTCCAGTACCCCTATGAACCGGCCTTCGTAAGTCCGTATCTTCTTCTTTATGTCTTCAATCGCGTCCGACAAAGTGAATTCATGGCATTGAACAAGAACGGCAAGACCATTGCACAAGATGTCATCGTGGTGTCGGACTTCTTGTGAGTTCGCTTTGACCTCCTTCCTATATGAATATAAATCGTTGATTAACGTTGCGTGCGAAATAACCATCTCTTGAAGAATTCGAATCTTTTCGGTCTGCAAGGGCTCCGGGATCGCGATGTTTTTGGCCCAAAGTACGCCCTCCAACGCGAGCCTATGAGAGGACGCGACGATGAACAGGCATTCAAGTCGATGAACAAGCTAGCACGTACCAACCGCCGACATCCCGCACTCTGTAGTTGAAGTACTCATCAAAACCTAAAGCCAAGCTTGCGAGACGCTCCTTCTTGGCACTCGCCGCTTTCATGAAATGGAGCGTGGCGTCGAAAATGCGTTTTCCGGGGGCGATTTCGTCGATCCGAGAGCGGATGTCCTGCAAGATCAATTCAGACGCAGTCA